GGTTCCAAAACATATGCAGGGCATCCCATGGATGGGCATTTCTAATGACTTGACAATCACTGAAAGTTCTGGAAAATAACTCAATGGAAGCAATGCCAGTAACTGAATTTGGAGTTTGGTTGTAAAGGTGTGCTGAATGAGAGACTGCAAAGGGCCACAGGGATTCATCATCAACTTCCGGCCATAGAAGTGACGCATGGATCATCATTGTTCTAGCTTTGGTTACTATAATTCTAATGGCTCCCTCAGAAACCCCATTCTGCAATTTGCCCTCCGCAATGGTCTTGAGGGCATCTTGGTCAAAGCCTGCCAAGTCCATGATGTAAACGTAGCTGCCATCCGCAACGTTGAGAGAGACACTGAGAATCAACTTGGGTATGAGCTTGACCAGGGCTTCTACAAGCCGGATACCTTCTTCCAAGGTATCCTTCAACTCGTATTCCTCCCGAAAGATTTGAAAGTGTTGCACCCGTTCCAGAGCCTTTGCCCGGTTATCCCCGTCCACAATGGCAAGTTGGGCGCAGTCAAAGTCCTTGATTTGATCCATTTCGGGAGAAAGATGAATGGCAGCCTTGATTTCCAGCGATTGTACCAGTTCCAGCGGAGTAAGCTCCATGCGTCTTGGGTCCTGAGGGCATATCAAACTGACATCGTCAAACACGTGGTTTCCTGTGTTGTCCTCATGAATGGAGGGCCCACTGATGCCATCATTGGCGGTAGGCTGCTGGGCTTCCATTCCTAGATCTCAACAATAGCTCCGGTAATCGGTATTAATAGTTGGGTTTTGGAAGAGGAGACTTCTATCTTCTACAACAGGTCAAAACTATGAGATACTCTGACTTTTGCCGCGCCTGTTGTGCTATGGTCTGCATCAAATCGAAGAGTCGCGTGAATTTGGTGCCATTTGACTGGTGCAGTGCTCCTACAGGAGAATGGCACCTTCCACGTCAGTTGAAGTTGTTAAGTCCTGTCGGGATCTTGTGGTCTTCATCTATTTAACGGAGTGATAAAAAGTATTAGAGCAATATACACGCATGACTCAACCAAATACAGAACGGGTCTTTTGTATGTGAGCGCAAAGAAACCAGCCTGTACAATAATACAAAATTGCATTTTTTAAAAGTAAAAATTGAAATCCTTTACATTAAGATACTCCGTGTCATGTTGGCTCTTGTACCGGTACCAGTAAGGGTACCGTTACAGGTGCATGCACATGGCTGCTTGCTGAAATTAATCTACTAACAAAGCTATAGCTAGCTATCAATGACTGGGTTACAAGTAGCTTTATCAGCTAATCATAAAGTTTACTAACACCTAATTGTATTGCTTTAGAGCTTGGTCCAAAGTGGCAATACCATGCTATGGCATCTTGTACCCGTATGAGACTGACTTGTATTTGCATCTTGTTTGACTGACTTGGATCCTTCTCGCAGCAGTGCTCAGCTGTTGGAACATAGGTGGGGGTGATGCCGCTGCAGTGATTCAAAAGCTGCAAAAGCTTAAAAGGTAGGTGTAACTCATTGTAACACCTCTGTGGATGCTTTGTTGTCTCTGTAGAGTTGTTTACGCACCAAGCTATTGAAATGACGACCACGTTGTCATCCTCCAATATTCTACGCCAGTTACGTCAGTTGCACGCCAGTTACGTCAGTTACCCTACGCTAGTTATGCTAGTTACGTCAGTCACTCTAGTTACGCTAGTTGAAGTGCCCCTAATTTTGGTGCAGTGCGGTGCAAGGGCGGTGCAGGAGAACTGCACCGGCACCAAATTATGGCACCAAATTCAACTGACCCGAACCGAATGGTGCGATCACCGTCAGCCGAACCATGCAGCCCATCATCTTCTGCGGTGGCTATTTCCCTTCAGAACACAAAGCTCCCGGAAAGTTTCTCCGAAACGTTCCGCGAGGTTGTTCTTTTCTTGTGAGCTTCCGCGGATTCGCTACGGCATAGCCAGTAGAGCTGTGTGGCTACTGCTGCTGAAAATTCCCACGCTGCGAGTGATCAAAAGTGGTGAAGCCAGCTTTGTGATCACTGGTATTAAAATGTATTAATAGGCGGCGGCAACTGCATGTCCTCGATACTTTTCTACTAGACTACTTTTAGTGTTTTTCGATGTCGTACGTTTGTTTGCTCTTCTGTCGTCCTCCTGGCAGATTCTCTTTGCTTGTTCAGCGTGAATGATGACACCAGGTATGCAAATATCAATCCACCAACTCCCACCCTTCCGGCGAGGTGGTGGGGCTTTTTCGTGCGTTTGCAGGGTGCAAAATTGCAACTCTGATGGTGCTGATCCCAGTGCTTTCTCTGGCACTCTTTACTGCAATAACTCACTTGAAAACAACAATCGCAGTCCCACAGAGCATGATCGGCGCAGTCGGGATTGCCACATGGTTCGTACTTGCCAATCAGATCCTTGGCAAAGGTTCGCAAGGATGAAACATCATTGTCATCAAAAATGGGGAGGCGGTCTCTGTCCGCTTGCTCGGCGGCATTCAAGAACCGTTTTGCTTTACCCATGTAGCGTGGGCCACACAAAGCATATCGCAGGGCTACACAGTAGCAGACTCTTACGTAGTGTTCAGAGTCCTTTTCCGCTTGCTGGACTATCTCATCGAACAGCTCGTCTGCCACTTCTTCTTGTGAGCAATTCTCCGAGAATTCAAGTTGTTTGGCTTGAATCATGAGGCAGTACATGGTCGTACTGCACCATTTATTCTGAGCTTGGGCTTGTCGGATGGAGTCAGCTGCCTGATCGGGACAACCAAGAAGCTTTTTCACAACGCACTGTATCCAAAGAATGTCAGGGTCTTCTGGAACTTCGCATTTCGCCAAGTTGATGGGTTTGTTAGCCTCCTTCAATATCGTCACGGTACATGAGAATGAAGACGTGGACAAAAAGGGCGTCAAATCGGAGCCCTTTCGCTTGGAAGACATTGTTGTAGAGTGCAATCATTTCTGATTCCAATGCAGCCATGTCGTCGTCCAAGAATGTGCCGGCTACGCACTTGTTTGCCTCCATCCAATCCTGGCGGAGGGCCTCTGCTAGTGCTCTCGCCGCACCTTTGAAGTCTCCTGACTTGATGTACCCTTTTGCTGTGTAACAACCATCTGCCGCCGCAAACATCTGCTTGGCAGTGATGGATGCTGGGTATTGAGCAACAAGCTGCTTCAATGCTGAATATCGGTAAGGATGCTCGGACGACTTTGTGAGGTTAGTCTGAGGATCATCAAGTGTTCGTGCTACATAGCTACATCCACTTCTCTTCAAGCGCCTCATGAAGTCTTCTCCTTCTTTGTTGCTTTGGAAGGCATAGAATGCATCCCGATCCTCCTCACTAGGAAATGGCTCTAATAATCCAATCATACCCGTGGGTATGTCCAACCGTGCAGATACTCCGAAATCACCACCGGCTGTCTCCGCTATTTGCTTGGCAAGTTTGTTTTGCGACATTGTTTGGACTTTTGGCTTACGCCTACCTCACTTGGTTGGTTGTGGGTTCGATGCAAGTAATCGAGGCCGAAGTTTTTATGAAGCTTGTCGGGTCGGAAATCAACGTGCACTTTTGAAACGATCCTCGCGGATGGCCGTTGCCTCCACAACGAGACGTTTTCAAGTTGCTTGAGGTGCGAGGACACAAGTAGCAAAATCACAGGTTCCGTACCGGTACGGTACCGGTACCGGTACGGATCCTTCCACTGGGATGAAGCCTGATTGATGAGATGATGCTTGGGTCATGATCAGTACTAGTACTAGTAGGGGAAACCGTCCCACAAGAATCGATCTCCACGACAAACGTCCACGCTCCACGATCTATCTGTACCAGCCATTTGTGTCACGAAACGTCGGCTTTGCCTTTTTGAAGTTAGTTTTAGTTAGGACTGCTCCGTGCAATCGTCTCCTTGGCCTCTTGTGTTATCATCGTATGAAAATACATCGGCGAACCGGGTGGAGTCACAACTATAGCCAACAAAGAACCCACGCCCTGAGTGGACGGCTTCTTTTGGAAGCGACAATTGACCGAGGCAAAGTGAATGAGTGAGCAAGAACCAACAAGCCGGAGACCGCACCAGCGATGTCATTTCCAACGCAGGAGCCTGAATAGCTTGAGGTTGTCACTTGGACTTTATGGGGGGGTTAGGCATGAGCGCGGGGGAGGGAAAAAGAAGAAGAAGAGGGAGAGGGTTATCGGTTGAGTTCCAGATTCCGAATCGAGAGCAGGCAGGGCAAACCTCCAGACACAACGACACCAATCTTACTTAGAGAATTGAGGGGAGAAGGCAATGACCGGTCATTTCAGGTAGGTACCCCCTCTCAAGTAACGATGTATCATGTCTGAAGAACAATGAATATGTCAGCAAATACGTCAGTGGGATTCAAATCGTGACAGGAATTCAAATCATTTCAACGGATAGCAACTGACTCTTTCCCTTTCCTTCGCTCGCACCAGACCTTCCCATTATTTCCAGTTCATTCAAATCCTCGTGTATTATTTGCTCCGATCAAGTTGTTGTTGTTGTTGTGGTCGATAAGGTAAGAGACGAATGGTCGACAATGAGGAATCAATTGGTGTTATTACTGTTGTCTGCTACTGCTATTATACTGTTGGCTATCTAACATTGTTTCTCCGCTCCTCCAATATCGATCGATCGCTCCGCTCCTACAATTTCGGTCGCTCCTATGCAAGAACAACAACTCGACACACCAGAGCGACCGACCGACCTTGGCAACAACTACTACTACTACTACTACTACTACTACCGATGCTCCTTCCTCTACCAATACCACTACCGCTCCTTCGTCTACCGATACCACTACCGACCGACTATCGATACCACTACCAACCCTTCCTCTACCAATACGAGAGCTACGAAACTCGCCAATTCAGATCGAAACCACCGAACGTCGTCCTTCCACCGAACGTCCTCCACCAAACGTCGACAATGAGGATTGCTACTAGTCCATGGTTCTCCAAGTGGCTGCAAAGTGTCAAAAGATACCCATTCAATGAGCTGAGATTACAAGGCATGGATTCACTTGCAAGTATGTCATTTTGGGTACAACAGTGATGAGGAGGATAACTTCTGTTTGCCACAACCAGCATGGAAGTGACCGTTCTTGAGGAGTTGATATTGCAAGGAGCATGCAAGCCACTTCCTCCTGCCATGACCGACATCATGGATTACATGTAGCTTCAGGCCTTCAGAAAAGTCCAAAATGTAAGAGCTGTCATCTCCACCCTCTCTAAATGCTGGAGTCGCCGTCGCCACATCCTGTGAAAGGAAAGGACATCTTCATTGAGTGCATCTCTGGTTAGTGAGGGAAAGATTAGTGAGAGCTATGATTCTCTCCCAAGGACAGTGTTATGGATGCTTGGCATTATTATGTTGCCACTGGATTGACTACAAGAAGAAGATTTCCTTCAAGAAATTACTGAATGAGTGAGACTATGGTTGTTATTTCATTGGCAATGATATGTAAGTTACTGGCATAAATTAGAAAGATTTGTGGATCTAATATTTACTCTTTGTTGCTACCCATACCACTCAATTTAGATTGCAAATGGGATCATGTGGTGGTCTCCTCTTCGGGAGTCACCAATGGCAGTATTGTGACAGCCAACCCTTCGGGTGGAGTTGCTGAAAGGAGCTGGCAGTATTGGTTGGAATTGCTGCTGCATTAAGGCAAGTTGCATCATTTAATCTGGTGTTGTTGCTGATAGAGAATCAGGTTACCAATTAAGAATTTCTTGTTTGTGCTACAGGAGGAGCTGCTTGTGGTGGTGGATTGGGTGGTGAGGTGGAGCTGTGGAACCGGTTTGGTTTGTTGTGGACCGGTTGTGGGTTGTGGTGTGGAACCGGTTGTGGTGTGAAGCTTCAACTGGACTGTGCACAATCTACACAAGCAACAACATTTGGTGAGTACTTCTGCCTGTGAGGTTTGATCCAACAATGTACTCTGAAAAGAATCTTTCTTCCATTATCCTCTGGCAGTGGTTCTGCATTTGGAAATGGTGCTCCAGACCAACAGCCTCTGCACATGTCATTCAGGTAAGCCAACTCTGAATGGTTCCAGTAAGGAACAACCTTCTCCCATCCAGCTGGAATTACTTCCTTCTGCATCGCTGATTCTTGACAGGAAGGCTCTCTTGTGCCAATCTTGAGGTTGTATCTAGCAGGCCAGCAAGGTTGAGTGCATCAGCAGGGTCTTCTCATTCCACCATTGCCAAAGTGGGCAAACTTGTCATGGAAACCTCTAACTTTGACTCTCCTCTCCTTGATAGGTACTCTGGAAGATTGTGCTTGGAGTTTGGAGAAGGTTGGATAGTGTATACATGTCTTCCAGTGGCAGGGATCAGCCAAGGGAATGGCTTTGTCAACACAGTTCTCTACTGCTGGTTTGGTAACAGAAGTGAACAAGGTAATTCTTGACTGGATCGAGTGGCCCTGTCCTGGCTGGCTAACATCACTGGCAGTCACCTTTTACTGCAGAACCACTGTTGCAAATTCTGTCTCATGTCTCTGGTTACTCATCTTCTTCCTTAGTATTTGGAGTACCTGCTCTGAAGACCTTGGAGCTTGCATATCTGAGATCTCAGCCATGGAGTACATTGCCATTGGTGGATAGTAGATCATGTTTCAGAGCATGCAGCAGCTTCTCATAGTCATCAGGTGAGTACACATACAACAATCCAAGAGGTCTGACATAGCTTGATGTGATCAATGTGTCCCTTTCTCAAGTTGACAGTATCCTCTTCTCATATATGAAACAGGCCAAGTCTTCCTCAATCCTGGAAAGAGACTCCCAGTAGTCATCCTTGTGGGGCCAGTGTATCACTGTACATGGCAGCTGGTTGAAGTGGCTCCTCCTTGCTAGCTGCATGGCAGCAGGGAGAAGTGGATTGTCTTTGTGGTGGAACAAGACAGCAAGCAATCCACCAGTCTCAGTAGCCAGCCATCGCAAACAGCAGCCAGCACCAAGATCTTGGAGTAGTTCTACCACCTGAAAGGTATCGTCCTTGCAGAAGATTCCTTGTTGCAACTGACACTTTTATCTCTCTTGTGTGTCTTGTGTTGTCACTGATCCTCCACGGATTCCTGTTGAAGCACAACAGCATCATAAGAGTACGATGGTGTCACCAAGGGGAGGAACTGTCTGATGTAAGTTCCTCCTTTTGAAGAAAGGATCTGGATCAGTGTCGCTTCCTTGCCAGTATGAGAGTAAGACATCATGGCTCTAAGATACTCTCTTGTGATTGCATTGTAGATGAGGCGGCTGCATAGGTCTCCATTTCCATAGGTTAACATGATAGAATCGAATAATTCTGTTGCTGTTCGCTCCAAGTGACAAGCCTGTTAGGTAGAGCATACTTGGACTCCACTGGATAGAGCAATGAAGCGTGGTCTGGATCGAGACCAGCACTTCTGCAGAGTTGGCATCGAATCTTCTGTTGCAGCTTCCACAAACCATGGACATGACTATACACCAAGAAGGAGGACCAGTGATGCCAAAGATAGGGAACAAGGTCTTGTTCTTGGACCAGTTGTGCCTCGCATTCTTGAGTTGGCCAGAGCATCTTCCATCGGGACAAGGAACTGTAATTCCACATCGATTCCAGTCCACTAGAAGGAGTTTCTGCCCAACAATGGAGTGGTAGTGAGGAGACTCGAATTGCTCCTCTGTGGAGGGAACTGTCATGGTGAGTCCTTGGAAGTGTTTGTGGAAGAGTTCTGGATTCTTTGCCCTGGTAATGGATTCTGACACTGCTTCTGCCATTGCTAGCATTGCCAGTGGTGCTCCTTTCTTCTTGTGCTTTTCCACAAAGGCAGTATCATTTACAAGAGTGGTTACCTTTTGACAAAGAGCTACTGGAGTGGCCATTGCTGCCTTTTGTTGCTGTTGCCGGCTCTGCTTTGGTTTGGCTGTGTTGGTTCTAGCAGCAAAGAATGCTTCTCCATTTTCTCTTGTGGAATGCCTCCAGCTTCCTCTCTCATTCAGTGGTAGAGGAGCACTGAATTGTCTGGTGAGTCTTCTGCTTTCTTTGATTGTCTCCATGGTCAGCGCATTCAAAGGTCCTTGTCCTTTTGTTATTTTATTCTTAATACAGAAGACAGAGTGTGATCTCTTGGGGACTCTGAGACCAAGATGTCTGGCCTTACAGATGACACAGTTCTTGAGTGGATCAAAGACTTCTGCTACCACTCCTTCCAGTGTTGTTTGCGGTCCTTCTTCTCTGGCTCTCTTGGATCTGTTGTTGTTCAATTTGGCGAGTTCATAAGCTCTCTTCTGCTGGGAGTTTCTATTCTGGCTTTGGCAACCCATTCCTCCATTTTGTGTTGTTGCTGCTGCTGCTGTTGGTGGCTCCATGATGCTGTCTTCTGCTGCTGCTGTTGGTGGCTTTTTGGCCAAGATAATGACTGTCGAGTGGCTCTCCGGTGGCTCTCCGGTGGCTCTCCGGTGGTTGTTGTCATTGTCGATCGACGATCGATCGAACGAACGGAGGAATCCTTCTTTCGCGAAAACAGAAACACGAAATTTCGAACTTTATAGCACACTGTATCCGTAATAACTATAAATGGTACGTTAATTGATTTAAATCTTGTTCCTTATATATCGCTGACATATACATTGTTCTTCGGTCCTCTCAGCCAATCAGATCACTGCCTTCCACCCCTTTCGACCTAGCGAGAAGGCCAGCATGATCAGGCGACAGCCCAGCCGCGGTTGCAAAATTGTTCTTTTGCTCACCACTCTAGTGTGCTTTTAAAAAAGGGGTAGACATGATGTACAAAACATTGAATTGCAATCCAAAAACTGCTATATCTTAGTACTACAAAAGATAGTCGGGAGGAGAGTGAAGCCCAGCTGCACATACGGCATCTACTAGTATGCTGGCTATGGAAGCTGTCAACCATCCTTGCTTTGCTTGCTGTGGCAGGTGGGGTGACGTCAGTGATGAAGATCAGATCTTTTGCATTCGCTTTTTAATCTTCGAAGACAAACAACGGGAAATCGAGTACTTTGGTGCAGACCGGTACAAGGAGCAGAAGTAGGAGTATCAGTGAAGTCGCCGCTATTCGTCCGGGATATTGAAGTCGATACTGCAGTCCGCTGATACTATGCATAGTAGTACTTGATCTCTGTTTGTGTTGGCGTTCTCATTCGAGTGCAAATAATGATGGTCAAGATCCAAGTCGAGAGCTCTCCGCCAGTCAGTCAGCTAGCTAGTGACCTGAACAAAGCTCCTGAATCGATCTGTGGTGTTTGCAGAAGCTACACACCCAACATACCGGTGCCGGTGGACTACGAGTACTACTGCAGTACAACGGCAAGTCTTATTCGCTTCTGAGCTGACAACTATGACCCAACAACCATGGCCCAAGAACAGCACATGATCCCTGCGGAACCTCAACTGTTTGCAAGAGCTAATCACTTATCGCAATTGCTGCTGTGCCCGTGCCTCTTACGTCCCCGTTAGACGTCCATGTTCATGCTACGATAGAACAACAACAAAAAGGTCTTTGTTGGTACCATCGTCGGCAGACATAGCTGTTTCGGAAAGGGAGATGAAGATTTCTGTGATTTCAGGCATTTAATGTTTGCTTCATCTCCCTGAATTGGGAGGGTTTTCCGAATGTCTCGCTCGAAGCCCTTTCGACCGTATCGGTATCGGTACATGTACCGGCACCGGTACTAGCAAGCTACATGTAGTACTAGCTAGTAGTGGAGGTTGCGGGCAGCGCAATGCAAAGTGGGTTGCGTGTGTGAAGGAAGCGAACACGATGACCCGGTGACCCTGGAGAGTGGAAACGGGGAAACGCTTCCACCAGCCAGCACAAGAAATCCCCAAACACCGGACGGGAGCTTTCAGGTGATCGCAGAGAGCACCGAAAGTGGTCATGATGGTTGCGTGAAAGCCGGTCAGCTGGATGGGAATTGGTAGAACATGCTCAGTTTCAGACAGGAAGGAGGGCCTACTAGCCGCGGGGGGCAAAATTCTTGAAGTCCTTGGCCGTTGCACTACCAGGTAGCCAGCTAGCTAGCTAGCTAGCTAGCTAGGTGAGGCTCCTCTGGAAAGCTGGAGTTTGAAGTGGCTTGGATCTGCCACAAAACTTTGTGGCCCTGACCTCTACTAGCAAGCAAAGGAAAACGTATCTAGCCTTTCGAAATCCAGAACCATGTTGCTTGGCACTTCCGAGATCAAGATTGCATTGCTGGGCAACGTTTCAGCGGGCAAGACCACAGTATTGAATGCCCTTTTCAAGCAAAAGTATGGCGAAGTTAGCATGAAACGGACAACTGCAGGTGTGAACTACTTCAGGATCTGCGCTCCTGGTACCGGGGCACCTGCTGATGGCAAGAAAGAAGAAATGACCAAAGCGGATGATGATGGTAGCAAGGAACCTGTCAACGAAAAGAAGGAAGAACCCGCGGGCTGCAAGAAAGAAGACAGCCAGGAACCCAATGTTGGCAACGGCGCCAACGCTGTGTCACCCCAAACCGAAGGATATGGTGCGCAGGCACCTGATTGCCAAAAAGAAGAAGAAATGATCGGAGACGAAAAACCCAAGAGCTGCACGAAAGACGACAGCAAGGAACCCATTGACGGCAGGAAGGACGACAACGTTGGCAGCGGCGCCAACGCTGGTGGGGCAGAAGACGGTGGCACCCCTTGGTTCCCGCACACCGATGAACCCCGCTCTGCCAAGTCGACTTTGGAAGAGATCACAACAGACAATAGGGAACTTCGAGAGAGTGTCGACGTGCAGGAGAAGTGGTTTGACATTGCACTCACCGAGAACTTGGTGGAGATGCGAAAGGGCACTCAACTGGTTGTAGTTGACATTCCTGGTATCAACGAAGCCGGAGCGTGCAGCAAGTACAAGGACTATGTCATTGAGAAATGGGATACGTTTGATTGCCTGGTGCTGGTCATGGATGGCAGGCAGGGAGTCAATACAGAAGACCAGGTTTTTCTGTTGAACCTCGTTGAAAACAACAGCAAGAGACGCGAGGAAGTTCCGATTATTGTCTTGTTCAACAAAGTGGACGATCCAAGTGACAAAGAACAGGCAGAACTTGTTCTCGAAGCCAGGGAAGAACTTGCAAGGACCTTCGGATCGGTGAACTTTGTTGTTGATCCAGAGGAGGAATCCAACCCATTCATGTCTCCACCTAAAGCTGGTACCCCAAGTCAGAAGTCAGACGGTGACAAGACTGAATCGTCTTCTTTCGCAGCTCCTCAGTCTTCGTTCCCAGCCTCAACTTTTGGGACGTCTGGTGCGATGGCAACTGCGACTACAAGTGATGCCCCTGCACAGACACCATTTGGCTCTGGATCGTCAGGTCCTTTTTCTTTTGGGAGATCTGGAGCAACTGGGACTTCAAGTAATGCCCCTGTACCCACCCCATTTGGCTCTGGATCATCAGGTCCATTTTCTTTTGGGGCCTCGGCAACTGGGACTACAAGTAATGCCTCTGCGCCCGCACCATTTGGCTCTAGCTCATCAGGTCCTTTTTCTTTTGGGACGTCAACTACGACTGCAAGAAATGCCGCTGTACCCACCCCATTTGGCTCTGGATCATCAGGTCCATTTTCTTTTGGGGCCTCGGCAACTGGGACTACAAGTAATGCCTCTGTGCCCGCACCCTTTGGCTCTGGCTCGTCAGGTCCTTTTTCTTTTGGGACGTCAACTACCACTACAAGTAATGCCCCTGCACCTACACCTTCGTTTGGTTTTGGATCGACTGCAGGCAAAGCGCCTGGGCTCATGCTTCCAACCCCTGCTCCATCCGTGTCAAATACGTCCGCTGCCCTTTCCTTTGGATCTCCAGGTACGCATGTTCCTTTTGCGCGAAGAACAGTGTATTTATTGTTGTGGTACTCAACTCTTGGGTGAATCCCTCATCTTTCGTCTGAGCTCCCTCAGGAGGTTTCCGGTCCACCAACGCTGCTGATGGGCACTTCGGAAGCAAAGACTGGCGTTGGAGTGCTTCTGTTGCAACCACGGGTGGGACGAAAAGCACTCCATACCAACCTACACCTCGTCAGGTTGAAACCTCTACCGGTACCATCCTTTTTCAAACGATATCTGCCATGCCTGTGTACGAGCACAAGTCTATCGAAGAACTAAGGTATGAAGATTATCTTCAAGCAAACAATGGTACAGGAAACGGCACTGCCACACGAGGATCATCTTCGGAGGTCTATGGGACAGGCAAAAGAACGACACGACAAGGCACAGTTGTTGAAAGTCTTGCGTCCCTGTCACTATCTCCAGTTCCTGCCTCGTGTCTGTCAACAAAGCGCATGCGAGCAAAAAGCAGAAAAGTGAAGCCCTCATTCGTTCCAGTTTCCGCGATGTATGCGTTCATCCATCAAAGCGCTTCGTCCATGTCATTGGATCAATTCAAATCCTTTTTTGACAAGGATCTCATCGAAAAGGTTGGTCGCTTCCAGCTTGGACAACGCAGATGGAATAAGCTGACCGAGGACGAGAGGATACTGGAGACGTACGATATCCTCAGCGACTCTTTGATCCACACCGAATCATTGAAAAACAGCAATTTTGACGAGTTCCTCACGTTGCTGAACCAAACTATCGGCGGAGAGACTGCGCAGCGCAAACTAATTGAAGGCCAGATTCGTAGGTCTCTTCAAAGTCTGAAGGATGGAAAGTACAACGCGCAAACTATGATTCGTTGTATGGGGGGCAGTGAAGTCATGCTCTCTGATTGCATTGAATCCGCTGCTGCCAAAACCCACGCACTCCTTGGAGGGGATGCCGTGAAGAGGATTGTGCCCGACTTGATCGATTCATTCTGTGAGAGTTATCAGAGTTTAGAAGATGCTGCGTTTGCCAACTTGGAACAGGATGGCCCAGGCAGTATCAATGTTCTTGCACTTCCCATGGTTGAACTGATCTCGTGTCACAAAATTGGTTCCAAGCTAGATTTGGGTGATCTTGGACAATGCGCTGAAGCAAGAATGAAAGTCTTGTTTAGGAGGCAACTCGACGTTCTCCTTTGTCAGTCCAGCCAAAAAATCCCAACTTTCGGGGCTGCGCTCAACCGCAACCAGCGCTGGGATTTGTCGGTCG